TTATGGCACATTTCCCCTGAGCTCCTTTGTTGAACACCTGGGCCCTTGCTGGTGGCTACTTTAGAAGGCCTGGAAAGCTCAAGAGATGGGACCTTGTTGGAGGCAGGAGGTCAGTAAGCTATGCCTGGTCTCCATCCCCTTCCCCTCTGCTTCTCGACTTGTGAAGTGAAGCACCTTCTTTCTACATGTACCTTGTACTCTCAAGTTCTATGCAAGCACAGGGGCCAAGCAAGCACTGAGCAAACCTTAGAAGCTGAGCCTAAATCACTTCCACCTTAGGCTGTTTTCTTAGGTGCTTTGGTCAGAGCTACTCAAAAGTAAGGAAGCAGATGGTTTTGATATTTCGTGATAAGGAGTCTATGACTTCTGTGTCCAACGAGGGATGGAACGGAAGTCAGATTGCCTCGAGGTAGGTGAGGTAGTTGAGGTAGAGGCTTAAGGGGATTTATAGAACCAAAGGCCTGTTAGAGCAAAGATGTCTAGTTTGGAAAGAAGTGGTAAACAGCCTGACACTGACCTGCTCCCTTTAATCCCAACAATAGTCAGGGGGTTGGGAGGAGCGGGAGCGACTGAGAGAGAGACTTTGATTTTTAAAAGAAGAAGGTGAGGATTAGCCAGAGGAGAGAAATAACTAGAAGAAAATTGAATTTCATCCAGTAAGGGTAATAGTGTAGTATAAATATTGTTACACAAGGGCTGCCATCAGATCTCACTGTTATGTTAACCTTTTTGTTCGCAATAAAATGACTACCATTTAATTCAAAACTTCTCATAGAGTAGTTTAATCTGATTAAAGATGTCATTGCAGGAAGAAAAGTTGAAAATTAAAAAGATGGCTGGTAAACATTTTCCATTAATTTATTATTTATATAATTTGTTAAGTTATCAGAGTTTCTTAGGAGAGAAATGACCAGGAGTCTAGACTGGCTGGCATAATTAAGTACCCGTCACCCAGGCTTCTATTCTTTATCTGATTTATGTTATGGCTTGTTCTGAAAAGTTAATACTTAAATTTAATTAGGAAGGTAAAAGGTATAGATACTAAGACTGTAATTAATTGAAACATTTAGAATAGGAGGCTTTAGAGCAGAGAGAATCCTGGGGATCGATTTATCTAACGGCTCCTCAGTTCTGTCCTTGTGTTTACCTACTTAGTTTCCTTATAAAATGTATCTCGAGATATAAATGTCTAGAGATAATATAAGGAGGCTCTTCATCTCCTGTTTGCTTTAGATATTTTTATGTTCATAGAAAGGAAGCATTTTAACACTCTCTGCATTACCTTTTCCCACTAGATTTTCAAACAAAAGATGAACTATTATGAGTATAATTGATGCCAGCTCTTTCTCCCACTCCCTTCATGTGAGGTAGCCAGGGTTTAGCAGACTGCTACAGTCTCACCTTTCTTGTACTGCATCCAGTCCGTGAAAAATAAATGGTGATATTTTGTGGTTTTATACTTTGTATAGCTCATATAAAATGTAGATGAACTTCTGTAGCATAGTAAAAACTTTTAAAAAATTTGTTCATATTGATAATCTGCTAATGTAAGTTCTCTACTTTCTGGTCTTTAGAAAGTGTTAAGTATTCTTAGGAGTGTGTTCTTTCATATTTGAAAATAAATGTGCCATGCTCTGCCTTAAGACTGCACAATTGTCCTGCATAGTATAATTTGTTAGGATTCTGTACAGTAGCTCAATTCAAGTCCCTTTAAATCTAATATCTAGGAAACAGTTTGGGTTTCTTCTGATTATCGAGTTTGCCATTGTTATTGCTCAGTGTTGCATATTCCATCATTATTCCATATTTTCTAGATGTTACATATGTCACAAAGATGTTAAATAGTGAAGAAAACATTTTTAGGGGGCTACCCTTGAAATCCATAAATTGTAATTCGGTTACTCTTTGGTCAGATATAGTCTAGTCATGTCCCAAGCAGTACTTTTGATAGCATCATAGGACCATTGGACAGAGTTTCGAGGCAGCAGAGATTAGAGGAACACTTATGGGCATCTCAAGCTTTGGGGTGGGACCATAAACACACAACACCACAAGAGTAAATGTGAGCTGAAAACAGTGAACTGCACCTATGTTTAATGTAGATGAGTCACTTTCATAGACATGTTAGATGAGGAACTAACTCCCACACACAAAAATACATACTGCATAGGACATTTCTTGTAATATTGACCAATTACCAAGTTGGCAATACCAGCTTCTAGAACACATACTTGTCATGGTAAGCTAAAAGAAATCAAAGAACAGAAGGATAACCATTTCTTATCTGGAAAAGATAATCTTTGTGTAGGTGCCCCTCGGAGTGCTGAAGGTATTGACCTAAGTGGTTACTTGGTTTTCTTTCATCTTTTAAAAAAAATATTAATTTGTTATGATGCATATTTATTCCATGTGGTATTTCTTTGCTTTATTCACAATAGTGGTGTAGATACATGTGGCTACCTTTTATAAGGGAATATTACAAAAACATGTTTTACCACTCAAAATTTTTAGATATTCCATTTGTGTATATCCACACAAATCCATTTTCTTTGGACGCAGAATGAGCACGGGCAGGTTGTGGACTGGATGGCTGTCAACAGTGGGCTCTAGATTTTATACAGAATGTGTTTTTTATAAGTGGAAAACTCTTCATTAAACGCTGTCTTATAAGATTAGCACCTTAGAAGCATGTTTACCATTTGTACATGAGATGGTAAGTTATGAAATGGAAATAACATTTGAGGACAAGACACATGTACGGTCTCAGAAACAGCCCAGGCAGTAGTGGTAGATTTTTATTCCCCACCTTATCTGAAAGCCTAATTGTATATTTTAAATTAATGTTTCTTCTTGTATTTCTTCATCCTTGAAATAAGACAAATAGCAGGTGAAGTTGGAGGGTAACCAGTTAACCTCTCAGAACTGGACACTAGGCAGACTGGACTTTACTCTTGCCATGGTGTGAATTCCATGCAGGAAACTGCTTGCAAAGGAACTCGTTCTAACTTTGAAAATACTTCTGAGTGGAGACTCCACAGCCAATGCTGCAGGAGGAGATCTAGTCACTGCCCACCCACTGCCCTCTAGTAGAGTAATCCATAAACTACTGCACCTATTCTACCTACAGAGGGAATCCTCACAGCCTTCCTGGCCCTTTGTGAGACTGGTGGCTTGTGTGCCTTCCCAGACTTTACCTCCAGGACCTCTGAGCATCAGCACACTGCGGAAGGTTCAGGAAGAAGATCCTGGGTCAGTGCCCGAGGTTGCACCAAGGCTCCTTTCCTGGTTTTTCTCATTTGCACTTGGTCAGGTTCTTTATTCCTTGGTAAATCAACACATTAGAATAGAGGATTGACAGGCAATCCTATTTAATAGGATCACTTATTTCCAAAGCTATGTTTTATTTGACAAAACCAAAGCATTCTGGGAACCAGTCTTCCTTATTGTAACATGAGTTGTGTTAGAGAGAGAGAGAGAGAGAGAGAGAGAGAGAGAGAGAGAGAGAGAGAGAGAGATTGAGAGAGAGAGAGAGAGAGAGAGA